CCCTGCAGGCGTACATAACCCCGAGGCTGCAACCAAAGACATGCCAGGTCCGCCAGTACCAGATCAAGCCTCTGTCCCTGCACCAGCGCACACACAGCATAGACCAAGAAAGGTAAAACAAAAATCCGAACTTGATCAAACCTTAGATTTTTATCTGGATTTTAATTGAAGCCATGAAATCCTATCCAAATCCTATTTGTTGTGTCCGTCTTACAGGCCGATGAACAGGCTCAGTCTGGTGGGACAGTTCAGTTTCGCTGAGATCCACTCCTGGGTGGTCTTCTGTTTGCCGGAGGTGCCTGAGAAAACACCGGCCGGAGAGAGCATCGCTTTCTATTTCCACAACACTTTCCTTGGGACACAGCTTGAAGCAACTTATTGGTAAATACAAGTACACAGTAGAAAGGCTCTCCCAGGATTGCATATACAATTGAAGACATTATGAAATCACTGACAAGGGGGTTGTACCATTTCTTGTCTAGTCCCCCTAGAAATGTTTTGTTTATGTTTGTATTTCAATCAGGAGAGACTTAGTTCGTAGTTGATAACATCTTTATTGCCGTATGCACAATAGCGTTTTGGAGAATAGACCCCATCATACTGTGATGAATTAAGGGGGAGGAGAAGCCGATTAGAAAGAGAAACTCCCCGGGGTCTAGACACTGGTGGTGGTGAGTACTAAAGGGAAATACAAATCCGGAGTGATGAGAGTTCTTCTGGGCTAGCCTGCCTTGGATGCTGAAATTGAAGCTGGAGTGGAAGGAGCGGGTTTCATCAATTCTCTCTGAGCGATGGCTGGCAGGGGAGAGAACAGAAGCAGATTTAAAACTTTGGGCCCGGGTGGGGGCTGTGATTTGGCTGTGGGGAAAGGTGGCTGTGGGATAGACGGCACAGACCGATTGGTTTTAGGTGGGTACAGTCTTATCAGCAGTCTTTGCCTTCATTGAGAAAAAGGGGCGAGTGAGTTGGACAGGAGAGGAGACAGACCCACGGACGCCAGAACAAATTCATAAAAGGGAGGGCGCACTCGGACCCTGTTCCATACTCGGCGACCGAACTGTCCAAACTTGCAACAACAACCAGCCTACTAATTCTCCACTTAACTTTAGTTTTCTCGCGATCTGTCTCTTCTGCTCTCTCCACAAACTCCTCACATGAAATGTGTTCTTTTGATGCGGCATTGTTCTTAGTGCGTCCTTTATCAGCACTCATGCTAATGCCGTAGCCTTTCCCACGTCGCCAACACAAGCCATGTCTTCGAACCCAGTACGCAGACACCCCGCACTACCAGATGACAGGACGCCATACTTCACTATCTCAAACATGTACACTCACAGGCCGGCAACACCAGCTGCGCTCCCTGTTCTGGTAACCAATATTCAAGTCATGGTCTGTTGTTGCTACCATGCCAGCGTCAAAAGTGCAGCTTCTTTTCTGAAAACAATCTCCCTGGATAACAATCCAGTTTTCACCTGGTTGGCGTTTACTTAACCCCATGATCACTGGGGCTGCTTGGGTTCTGCTGAGCGTGTTGCTGCCCACGATAATTAGGCCACTACCTGTTTGAGTGTGCTGCAAGGCTTAGCGTCTGTAGTGGGGAGGAGGGAGGAGGAGGAGCACGGAGCGAGCGAGGAGGAAGGACATGATTCAAGGCCCTTGGGCTCGTAACTCAGCCCCGCGGGCTTTCCGAGGTCAAGGGCTTGTGACATTAAGGCGTGCTGCGCCCAACGGCAGGTGCAGGGGGTCGCCAGCCAGCACCATTCGGCCTGCAGTTCTCGTTCAATCGCCCTATATTTTAGATAAATCGCTTGGACTTTTAAGGGCCAATTTCTGATGTCCATGTTGTAATTCAAACAGAAATGGGAGTCGTACAGAATGCACCAATAAACAAATCCGACAATAAACAAATCAAGAATAGAGTGTGACGCTGTGATTGGTCTAACTGTGGACGAATCACAAATCACAACAGACACCTGCATTTATTTGACATAGCCTGCGATTTTTTTTTGTTACTATCTGATATCAAATACATCGTAGCATAAAAGTTCACAGTTTATTTATAATTACAAAATAAAATATATATATATATATTTTTTTATAAATAATAAAAACGTGTTTATTGGAGGAGGGCAGGAATGTCCTGGCCCTCCCACGGCGCCGGGCATGGTGAGAGAGAATTGTGAATGAGAGCGTGGGAACCAGTCTTCCTGAAAGAACTTGCGCTGCTGAGCATCATTTAACCTTTTCCTACTAAATTGTATAGGTTTTGTTTCTGATTGTACTTGGAATTAAATGTTTTAATTGTATTCTTACTCCTAGCAAAGGGGAGGGTCACTTCAAGTCAGACAACATCTCTACCATCTCCATACTGAGTGATGTTCTCTCCAAAGAAGCCACCAAGAGGAAAATCAATCTGAACGTGTCATACGGTATGTGTAATTGTTCATAAAGTTCCAGGGAAATATCTATGCCAAAATAAATCCTGTAAAACTAAATGTTTGTTTGTTAATCTTTCAGATATCAATGATGACTCTGTGAGCCACACCCTGAAGATGATACATCCAAAGCTGGAGTACCAGTTGATGTTGGCTAGAAAAGTTCAGCTTATCGATGCACTAAAAGTATGTATTGGTTCAAAGTGACATCTTTCAGGAAAAATCCATTCTGAAGCTGACGTCTGTTTCAATATGTTCCTGTGTATCCCCACAAGCCCATCTTTGGTTAAAAGTACTCACCCATTCTCTGTGGGCTGTACAACAACAATTACTAACCTCCACTTCACTTTCTCTCTGATGTCTCTGATTGGCAGGAGCTTCAGGTCCATGAGGGAACCGCTGACTTCCTCATCCCAGAGTACCGTAACATCCTGGATGAGTCCAATAATCTACTTGTGGAGTACAAGAAGCAGCCAGCGCATCTTGAGAGGCTTTACGGTGCAGCTTATTCATTACATTTCACTCACACTAAATTCAAAAAATGTATATTTGCAGATTTCTCCAGCTAACAAATATTGGGTATTCCCAGAATCAATTAATTTGTTTAGAAATAATAACTTCTCAGTTTGTTTATTTATTTAATATTGTTTACATTACTTATTTATTTTCATCGTTATGCGGTTGAATTATTATTTCAGCCCTGGAAATTGCCTTGTAATATTTGTATTGGTGTATATGAGTATGTGTGTACTTATACACCTGAACATATGGTGCTTATGTATATTCTGTGTATGTGTGAACATATGAATGTAAAAAAAGTCACTTGAAAATAAGTGTTCACAATGTGTATATGCATATATTATTATTATTTGTTTGCCAAGTACATATATTTTTATAAATAGTATTTTCCTTTTCAAAAATGATAGTCAACTGCTATTGACATGTGCATAAAATGACCCTATATCTAGTTTTCATATATATATATATATATATATATATATGCATTTATTTTTCTTTATTTCTTTGTACTCCTTCATTTCTATACGTTTCTGAGGCAATAATGCCAATGTGATATTAGGATGATTCACGAGAGGGCTACTTCCAATAAGCTATGCTTCAGCCCTCCCGCTTCTACTCATTTAGTTTATCTTTGTGTGTATGAATTATATTTTTTCTTTTTGGATGAATTAGTAGAATAAATTTAAAAAAAACACTCTTATTATGAAATATAAATAATATTATAAACTAATATTTCTTTTTTCTTTCCTGTAGGAATGATCACAGACCTCTTCATCGACAAATTCAAGTTTAAAGGCCAGAATGTGAAAACCAAGGTGTCCTCATTGCTGGAGATACTTGATAATTATGACTTAAATTCACTTTTAGACTTTTTCAATGAAGCATGATAACATGTAGATCAAAGGGTGAATATGTAGTTACTTGTTTGTCTTTCAGTCTCTTCCTTTGTGCTATATTTGTATTGTAAATACAAAAGTTAGGTTTTATGATAGTTACTATCAGTGTCAATGTCCTTTGTTATACCGTCATTTAGATTGACCTACATGTGTTGTACAGTACATAAATATTTATATAATTTATTTTGGTAGCATCTAAAAACAATTGTGTTGTTTAATAAACTACTGCAAAGATTGTACAGGTTGCTATGTTTGTTCGTGACAAAGCTTTGGATCAAGTTTCAGTGACCAAATATAAGCCAGTTAAAAGCACACAGATTTATAAAGCACTATGAGTTCCCCTTTTTTGGAAACATTGAGTAATTCAAGGAGCTATTGGAAAGTACAGAGAACAATTACAACTTAATAAGAAGAAAAAACGTGTGTGATACCATGGGACATATGTTACAAATGTGCAGTAATTTTCCACACAACACTCTAGTCTCATTCCTATAATTTATTCATATATTTATATCCATAGCCTTTATGCCTATCTATTTTTACAAGGTGCCACACGACTCTAAATGCTTGTCATGCTTCTCTTACCATAATAAAGTACAGAAACTAAAATCTATCACCACTGATAAACGATCACAGCCACATTAACCTAAATAACTTTAATGTGTGTGCTGCAAATAATGATTCTATATCATATACTTGAAATGAAAGCAAATGAAATTCCAATAGAGCATGTGTTTGTATTGTCTGATGATATTTTATTATAAATAAAATAAAGTTATTATTATTATTATTAGTAATATATTAATGTAGGATGTTTACTCATTAATGCACAAGGTATATACTACATATGAGTAATTTTAAGTATATTTTGATGGTAATACTTTTAAATGCAGTACTTGTTCCAGAGTATTTATGCAAAGCTTTATTACTAGTTATACTTAAATACACGCTGTGGATACCATATCGCAGCTGTTACGCTGAACAATAAATTGTGCGCCTTTTACATTCAAATGTGTCAAACCGGTTGTGAATTTGCAATCAAGCGAACATTGTCCTCTACCGGCACCCGTACAACTGCCTTCGTCACTGCCTGTGCGGCCTGTGATTGGTCCGTTTCAATCCTCGCGGGCTACTTGAACTGAGAGAGAGCTACAAACCTACATCTGCACGATTTACTGTTTATGCACTGAAGGCTAGCTGCTGCTTGCTGCTGCTGTTGGTAGGTTGGTAGGTTGGTCAAATCATTTTGGAACTACTCCCGAGTATGGCGACTTGAGAAACACATTGAACCTCGTTGTAATTGTACCACCGGTGCACTTGGTTGTGTTTTGTAACTTTGTTTATTTAAGCGCCTCAGTTCCAAGAGTCGTTGCCATCTCAACAGAACCTTCCTCAGCAAGCTAGCAGCTAACGCTAGCCTTCATATATAACTTTCCATACGCGATACTTCGAAACGCTTTATATTTGAGTGATTTACAAGAGCACACACCAGCTGTAGCATCTCAGGCAAGCAAAGACAGTTTGTTATTTGAGGGGGAAACATGTCTGGAGTTAGCAGAGAGAGAAGCGCGGCTACTAGTGCGCTTCACAACCAAGAGAATGTGCTGTCACGACTGAGAGGCTCCATCAAACCCCGAGCTGCTGCAAACGAAAACCAAGAAAACCTTGCACCGAAACAAGGAGCCGCCGGCAGCAGAACCGTGCTGGGAGCCCTGCAGAACAACCTGCGGATCAAAGCCCAGAACCAGTGCGAGAAACAGGTCAGTGTGGGGACAACGATGCTACCATAGCTCACCTAGCTGCAGCTAGTGTCTGCTAATTATGACTGTAAATAAGAAAGGAGGGGGTGCCATTGTAGTTTTTGGAGGCAAATAATTTGTTACACTCTAGTTAACATTACTTCAGCTTTACTGCGTCATGGTTATAAAACAATGCAGATTAATGTACTTTTAAAGATATTGGATACTTCTGTTTTCCAGATAGTCCGCCATTTTAATCTCACCATTTGTGAAATACTTAATCCTTTTACTGCTGTATTCAGCGGATTTTATTATTCACTACAGACTTGTCTTGTAGTTTAATATCTAATTAATAATCTGTGTGTACGTGAGTTCCTCCCGCCTTCTCTGTTGGTTGTATCCTATGAGTGGCTGTTGCATAAGTGCTCTATGCTATCATCCTATTTTAGATGCACAAAAAATGTATGCAATATCGATGTGCTTTAAAAGTAGCTTGTGGAATTTCACATGCCTGATTTGATGCAAAGTGACCTTCTTTTTTTAAATCCCTATACAAATAAACACTTTACAATCATGCTTTCTGTAGCCTCGGTATATGAGCCTTCAATTACATATTTAGATTGTAGAACCAACACTTTTTAATGTCTTGTACTATTGTAGGGTTATTTCAGGTGTATAAACATTTCCCATTGTGGGATAAATAGCTGAACAGTTGTTTTTTTTCTGCTTTCAGGAATCATCACAGTCCTTGTCCTGCAAAAATGAAGATTTGGTCAGAAACTGCTCAGAGAAGCCGGTCGCCAAGCCACCCATCTTCCAGATCCATGTGGATGAGCCTGATGGCGCCTGCATCAAGAAGCCACAGCCTGTGGTCAAAGCAAAGGCCAGCGCTGAAGCGACTTCCCTCGCAATCAGTGCTGTGGCACGGCTCCGACAGCCCCTGGCCACCCTCGATATTCCATCATCAATGGATGTCAGCTTTGGTGGGTTCTGAATACATTGCAACATTTACAAGACACCTCAGACAAACCATCTTCATTTTTGTAATTGACAATCACAATCCTGTGCTTTGCAGAAACACACTTTTGATTGCACTAAATGTTAAACTTTTCTTTCCTCAGACTCTCCCATGGACATGTCTGTGGTTGAGGGGGAGGAGAAACTACTTGATGTAAATGATGTCCCAGAGTATGCTGCTGAAATCCACACATACCTGAGGGAAATGGAGGTGAGAAATACAAATGCATCTCTGCCTCAATCCTTTAAGCCATGTTTTGCAAGTCAAATATAATTGACGAGGCCTTTTCTAGAGCTCATTCAGGACTTCACAATTCTCCTGCAAGTTGTTGAGTAACTCTGCTCCACAGATTAAGACCAGGCCTAAAGCAGGCTACATGAAGAAGCAGCCTGACATCACCAACAGCATGAGGGCCATCCTGGTGGACTGGCTGGTCGAAGTTGGAGAAGAGTACAAGCTCCAGAATGAGACTCTGTACCTGGCTGTAAACTACATCGATCGCTTCCTCTCATCCATGTCTGTCCTGAGGGGAAAGCTGCAGCTGGTCGGCACCGCCGCGATGCTGTTGGCTTCGTATGTACACATATTATATTGAAATGCAATGTTTTATTGTATTCTTTCCTGATGTGTGAAATGTTTATTTTAATGTTCCTCTGCAGGAAATTTGAAGAAATCTACCCCCCAGAGGTGGCAGAGTTTGTTTACATCACAGACGACACCTACACAAAGAAGCAAGTGTTGAGAATGGAGCATCTGGTGCTTAAAGTGCTTTCCTTTGATCTGGCTGCTCCAACAATTATCCAGTTTCTCTCCCAGTACTTCCTCAATAAATCAGTCAGCAAACAGGTGCAGAGCCTGGCAATGGTAAGCTTGCAGAACAAATATTTTATGAAAGTCACAATGCTTCTGGATGCGATATCAAACCTTTTCTATCCAAGGGGGCAAAGATCGATCCCTACATTTTGTTTTGCAGTACCTTGGGGAGCTCAGTCTGGTCGACTCTGATCCCTTCCTGAAGTACATCCCATCCCACACAGCAGCTGCAGCCTACACTCTGGCAAACCACACGGTGACTGGTGGCTCATGGGTAAGTTTTTAGATAAAATGGTCTAAACGACACCATAATGTGAAAGATATATTTGTGAAAGCCTCTGCTGAAAGATGTCAGTTTAAACATCTAGCTTCCCCTGAATGGGAATCATTTTCCGTGTGTGTGCAAACGGCAACATGACTCTCCATGTCTGCTCCTCAGCCCAAGTCCTTGACAGAGATGAGCGGCTACTCCCTGGAAGATCTGATGCCTTGTGTTGAGGATCTGCACCAAATTTACCTCAATGCTGCTCAGCATGCACAGCAGTCTGTTCGAGAGAAATACAAGGGCCCCAAGTGAGTAGCTTCTACTCGTCTCATTATTGGACGCCTTGGATTGGCTATGTTTTATGCCGTCGAACAATTGTTCTAAAATACTTTATTTATCTTCCAGGTACTCTGAAGTTTCCCTCATCGATGCACCGTCGAAATTGCTGCTGAACTAACCCCCCCCCATCCCCATGTAGTTTTGTAACTCGGTCGGTCTTCAATATTTTTTTAATGATGTATACCACAATTTAAAATGACAATGCCTACTCTTCCTGGGGTAGTGCTAGATGTTTAGAGTTTTTTTTAAAAGGTATTTTTATATAATCCTGACATCACACCAGATTCTACAGTTTTGTTGGTGAATCAAGCAGTTTTAATGTTGACTTCTAATCACAGACAAAATGTAGAGGCCTTATCAGCGCTCATTCTGCTTCAAGCTACAGTGTCTTTAATATCCACTGGACCTGTAATGTTCTGAACTCAAAACCTGTTCTTTACACTTTTAATGGTTTTGGGTCAAAAGCAGTCATTGTTGATGGTTAAACTTTTGACGTCGTGAAATGCAGATTAAAGTACATTTTGTCTGTAATGGAGTCAGCTGTCATTATATTGGAGTCTTGTCAATTCTACTGCTTTTGTCAAGGCACCATCTGCACTGTAAAATATGGCTCTTGTAAATAAAATGCATTTAAAGTCAGACTTCATGTCTACATGTTTATGGTCACATTGAACACATGGGGGCAGCAGAGGACCACTTTTGCTCAAAGGTTTTCTTCTATTTACAAACGGAAATTCAACTAATGGTGATTCCATGTCTTGAAGTGGACATTCTATTTTTAACATCTCTTCTGCAATACTTTGAGTTCAAACACTCTGACTTCAACAGAAACGTCAACATGAGTTAGCGTAGCTCTGATTGTACTCAGACCATCATTTAACCTGTGGGGAATAGCCTTCTGCATAGACACGTTTAAACTGTTGGACACACCTGAAGGCTAACCTTTTAACGCAAAAGAATAAATGATCTCATGTGCAGAAAGGTGTTTATATACTAAACACTTCCAACTTTAAACGTGGCTTGTTAAATCGTTCACAGAAATAAGATTTAGTAAAATAAAAAGCCTGTTTATAAAATAGGAGAATGGCTGAGAACAATGCATTTACACTTTAGCCTATGGAAGATTCTTCAATGAAATGATTACTTTCCCCACAATCCCTCCAAAGTAAGTAATTTAAATCCAACATGGTCTAAATAAATTGTTAGACTGAATTTTAAATTAGTATAATGGAAACATAAATATCATGCGTGGCAAGCCATTGCTCCTTTTTTGTCTGCATGAATTATTAATGACATCAGATTGGCTTCTTTTTTTTTACTTGTCATTCACTGATTTGATTTCCTTGGTGAAAGTGAAGTGAGAGAGCTGGTGACGTTGTAGGCATCTCTCTCTCTTCCCCCCTTTCTCATGATAAATTGGGAGGCAGGCTTTGTGCGAGGAGTCTGGCAGGAGAGAGGAAGCACATCCAGCTGCAGAGAGCCTTCCACCATTTCAGGAGAATGGACAGCTGAGACCATGCACACACTCTCAACAGGTTTTATATCTTACTGACGGCACTCCCATGGGACTCTATCGAGAATAAAACCATGGGAACAGAGGGGAATTCAATAACATAGCAAAACCAGTTGGATACCTGTTCATACAATGGCTCCTTCAGCTACAGCACAGCATCTGTAAACCCCTGAGAAGATCAAAGTGTGGGAAAAGAGGTTTTTTCGTTATTGTTGGAAGAGGTAAGCAGGGCGGGTTTCTGCCTAACCTCATGCCTGCCCCCAGACTATTTCTGGTGGAGTCCACCTCGCTACCCCTGGCTCTGGACTGGAGCGTGAACCTGAGCCTGTACGTGGGGCTGCTCCTCGGACTCCTCACCCTCATGCTGCTTCTCCTCTGGATGCTCCTCAAGCAGCTGAGTAACTCGGTGGGGAAATCCTCACTGCAGCCTGGACGCTCTTTCAGGCAACCTGGCTTAGAACAGAGGCTTCAGCACGTGTTGTGAAAGAAAAGGGGACAAATCTGCCAAAACAATGCCAGGGATGAGGCGTGTTGGAGTTTCTTTGCAGATTCATGTAAGAAAATGACTTTAAAACTCCAATGCTTATATTCCCTCTAAAAATAATAAAACGTTTACATGTCTATAGAAATCACTGTCTGTTTTTTTTACTTTTTAACAGTGTAATATGGTTTCTACAACATTGTCCCTCTGACATGCATGAGGAAACATCTATTATCCTGCAAAATTAAAAAGCTTATTATAATGCAACAGCTATTTCATTTGATCTCTCAGGTGGATAAACAGAGACCAGCACAAGCATCTTATTTGCTGAGAAAAAGCACTGCCAAGATTAAAATGCTGATTAAAGCATTGCATTCAGGTGGGCCATTTGCATTTCTCTCATCTCATTGGTAAATTGGCAGGAGGGACATTGAGGATATGCCAACGAGGAGAAATATGAAAAGAGCTATGTGCCGCTTCCTTTCACCTCCCTGTCCATGTCAAAAGACAGAGTAAACGAGACCCTAGAGGGAAAAGCAAAATGTGAACTGCAAGAAGAGTTTCGCAGAGGTTCATTACCAAGTGGTGACTGAACATATGCAGAGGCTTTTTAACCCTTTTCTATCATTGTTTTGTAGGTTTATTGATGTTCTTTAGTCATTAGTGAGAGGTCGCCAGGCTGTCTGTGATTAAATGCTGTGAGAGGAATCAATATCTCCACTTCCCTGAGGGGGAGCATGTTAATTAAACATCGACAGTTAATTTTCTAAAAGAGCAAGAACTAAAATAAACATGTTTCAGACTGAGAGCTCTTGGATGAGATGCCTTAGCGTTAATATTCCTACCCATGGATTCATTTAAAGGCATCTATTTTCTGTTGTTTTTGTGGCTTCTATTTGCCTATTTATTTTCTTGCCAAGTAAGATGAGAAGATAGAGTTGATTTTTATAAAAAGACAAAATAATTTTGCATAATTCCCTAATAGAGCAGGGCACTGATGTTCTGCGTAGAGTTAAAAAAAATCTTAATTGTGAGTGTCCTCGTTTTCAGTATTATGGTTCATTTGCACAAAAAAAACTGGTTTATATTTGGTTCTACTTTGTCCCTGATAACTACCCCTTTTAATTTAAGTAATTTTTGATTGAATCCATTTTAGAAACAGCAGATAGCTTAGCATAAAGACAGGAAACAGGGGTAACATCTTTCCTGACTTTGTACAAAGGTTACAAAATATAACTGCCTATAAAGCTTACTAATTATCGACTTTAACCTGTACAGAAGTCAAAGTGTACATATTGGCCTATTCAGACCGAGCCAAGACAGCTGTTCTTCTGATTCAAGTCTTTATGCTAAGCTAAGCTAACCAGCTGCTAAAACTTGCTGCATACAAAGAGTAAAGAGGTGATGGCCATGAATCTTATTGTGTTATTCTTGTCAAGTAAGCTAATAAGTGTATTTCCCAAAAGGTTGTTCCTGTTTATACGGTCTCTCACTTCTATTGGTCGGTCTGAAAACTCCTACTATCTATATTTCAAACAAGGACATCTTCAGGGTTTTCCCTTCAACACGTCAGAACACAGGTTATTAGAGAAACTAATAACAGTTTGCAGCACCCTTCAGCAACTGAGCTTCTGTTTAATGAGGTCTGACATTGTGGGTAGATCCCACGACGCCATGTTTCTCCTTCTCTGTTGTTGAGCTGAAATGTGTCCCCTGGCACTCCTGACCATCTGTGTTGTCTCAATCGTCCTCTAATAAGTACAGTGCCATATGTCTGCGAATACATTGCACATGTGCAGACCCATAAGAGAAAATCCTTATTAATTCAGACATTAACCGAGTGACAGCCTCCATGAGACAGTGTCCTGTCTGTTGTATTCCCCTGCTGGGTTTATCCTGAAGACATTGGAGAGAGAGCTTCTGGTCAAGAAAAGATAAGAACATCAGATAACATGTGGTGAAAGTGGAACAGTCTCTGTCCCACATTCTGTGTCCATTTCCTGGCCCCTATGGTTGTGTTGTTGTGTGAGCTATGAAAACACTTGGAGTAGAGTGGTAACAGTATCACGGTTTACATTGGTATTACTATTCGTCTTAATCATACCTATTTGGAGTATGTATTTATTGTTAACAATCACAAGACACGGATTCAAAGCTGACAGCTGATGTTATTTTTCACTTATTAGTAATTTACATGTAACATGCTATTCTGCTGCTCACATGTTAACTAACATGCTTAAGTAGTTTAACATATTAACATTATTTTGCTTTTTAATCAGGTTTTTAATTATGTTCTTAAGGGTCATTTCAGCGGGCAGATGATTAGCATAGTTTAGCATGGCACAATGTGGTTTTTACACTTATTTCTTTTGTATTGACTCAACTAACAAGATACAACATTATAAATTAATTTCTGAGTTTTAGATGAGCTGGTCATTCCTAGCATTCTGTGCTATTTAGGTCCCCACCACATTATATCATATATTTTGTATTTAAAAGGTCTAATGCTTATTTTTTAAAAGCTTGGTTTTAAATGTTTATACCCTCTACCATAAAACAACAATGTTATTTAGCCAGGATATATAAAAAATTCTAAATAATTACTCTGATTTTAGCACAAGTAGGCCAAATTGCTGTGTCCCCAATCATGTTTGCTCAACTTCTGTAACAGATATACAAAAAGAAATCAAAGAAATACAAACAAATTCTACATTTTTGTGAGTGTTGTATGACCCTTTTGCTAATATTCCTCACCAAATTGAAATTGTTGTTATTAATTCATTTGTATTGAAAATAAAGTGTGTGTCCCCTGTTTGAATGTACCCCCTGTTACTCTGATTTGAATCCCTCTGGACACGCCCCTTTACTATTCTACTATTTGTATGACTCAAGAAGAAGAAGGATACATTTTGAGTGGGAAATAATCTTCAAGAAGCAGAGTGAATGCGTTCTTCCTTCAACGTTTTTCTAATGTTTTAAAGAACTTAACTATTGCGGTAAAGCATAAAATTTCCACCCTGTTATGCTCATTTTCAGTGGAACTGATCATTTGTTTTACATTTCGAAAATATGGTGAATATATCTATCAAATATATGTTTCTGTTGTCACAAAGTGCTAGCTTGATTATCATCACACATGTAGCAATAGCCAAGTTTAGCATAAAATGTCCACCCTGTTACCGTCCACCCTGTTACTATTTTTCACAGTAACAGGGTGCACACACAGTAACTGGGGATGTACAAAAAAAATGTAAGCATAATATCCTGAGCTTGACCAAAATATTTTTCTTATACTTTAACAAGCCATCATTCAGATTAAATAAATAAAACATGGAAAATTATGTTTTTTATTTTTGAAATGTCACCGAATGCTAGGAATGACCCAGATATGTTTTCTTTAGACAGCGTTTCCCCTGCTTGCATTTATGCTAACAAACATCACATGCTATCTCTAGCGAAAAGCTTTCAATGCAGATGTGCTAAATATGGATCTAATGGCAAGATGCAATTATCTTATCTTAAGTAGTCATGCTTATTAGCTTAAAATAAATATTATTTGGTGAGATGAAGAGACATGTTTTGCTTAATATAATAGGACTGAGCATATTCTAGAATGAGAGGGCTATGGTTCAGAGGTTGTAGGCC